TTAACTGTCCTAAAGGTAGAACTCTAAATGTTCATTTAACTTTAGATCCGTCAATTTGAAAGTCAATGGATGTGTAAAGCAAAACAGAATATTTTTTTCTCGATTATCTATATTTTATTTCAATTACCAACAGGAGCAAACTTTCAGTAGCAATGCAGGTCCAAAATGTAATAACATAAGTATTATATTATGGATTATTTTATATATTACTGATTATGAACCCAAGGTAAAAATATGTACGTGGTAAAAATTAATTTTTCTGGGTCAGCAGGTGGCGTGGTGGTTGAGGGCACTGGACTCCCACATAGCTGACCGTGGTTCAAGTTCCAGACCTGGCAGCTTTCTTTCTCTCTCTCTCTCCATCTCTCTCTTACTCTGTCCCTCTCTGGTCAAATTAAAATAATAATAAATAAATGGATAAAGTTTAAAATAATACTTTAAAAAATTAATTCTTCTGAGAAAGGCAACCTGAAACTTGAAAATGAGGTATTCAATAGTCTGTGATGTTTCCAAGAATGTCCACAAAATATATTTCCAAAACTTACTAAGGCAAAAATCACATATTGCATAAAAGAGCTATTTAAGGAAAGAGAAAGATTTCAAATACATAATAAAACAGCTCTGACTGGCTACCTGGGATGTCACTTGATGCTGATCAAAATATGAAAGCAGTTGGAGTTTTGTGAACACAGTCTCCAGTGATGGAAAGGCTTCTTGCTTGCTCTTCCTGGCTTTTTGTCCTTCATCCCCAACTAAACACACATAAAGTAGGTAAGTTACTCTTTGTTTAAGAGAAGCTCTTGTTTTTTTTTAAATGAATATGAATACTTTTTATTGAAGTATAGTTCATATATACAGAAAAGTGCACAAATTCTATGAACTTCTACAAAGTACGCACACTTGTGTAATGAAACACAATCATGAAAGAACATACCAGGAGCCCCCAAGCCCCCTTAAGCCTCTTTTTTTTTTTTTTTGAAGAGGTTTTTGCTATAAGGCATGTGCGCTTGCCAGACAGAGACAGACAGAGAGACAGAAAACGAGAAATCACCCCCCCAGGGGGGATGGCCATGCTGCAATCCCTGCTCCTCTATTCTCCTCTCGGGATCTTGGGCATGCACGCACACGCGGCTGGCGGGAGTTTAAGCCACCGGGTCTGGGACGCGAACCGCAGTCAACTACAAGGGAGTCCAGCGACATAGCAATTACGCTAACTGCTGGTCCCCCCCTTAAGCCTCTTTAGCCACGTCTCTCTCCCTAGAAGATCAAGATCCTAACCTCATACAGCTTGGACGTGTATTGTCTACTCTGTAACTTTGTATATATAAGACACGCAATATATTCTTTTCCTACTGGCATCTGTCACTCAACATTATGCCTTTAAGATCGATTCATACTACGTAGTATGAACACTACGATTCATACCCTTGAGGTAATTTTAATTGGCTCTAAAAATTAATACTTCTCAGTCATGTACAGCGTTTCAATGTGTGACTATACCACCATTTATTTATCCATTCTAGGGAGTAGTTTCCAGATCTGGACTATCAGGATAATAACAATGAAGGGGAGAAAACCACTCAGTCTCACTTTGATATAACTGGACAATTCACTAGCGTCTTCTTTGGAGACTCATCTAAAACAGTTTAATATGTTAAACATTTTTACATGACTGCTATCTTTCTTAGGGGAAGCAATGAATTAAATCAGTCAACATTAATTGGAAAGTGTACATTTAACAACATAGCATAAAGAGCTTGAAAAAGCTCCAACTATAAAGTATTAAAAGCATTACTTATTCCAAGAGGACTCTCCCCCCCTCCCCGAGTTCTAAGAATAAGATTTAAAAAGAGATTTGAACCTGTTTTGAAATGTTTTGACATATTTATTTACAAAGATAAATGCAAATGCCAAAAAGGAAGAGTAGGACTATATAATCTCTTAAGATTTTCCTTTGGGAGACGGGGTAATTTGTCTAAGGGTATGTGTGTTCATTGAAAAAAGGGAGGGTAGTGAGAGAGAGAAACAGAGACAGACAGAGGGAAAGTGAGAGAGCACCACCTCATCACGGGGAATAGTCACACCATAATCCCTTCTCTTCCTTTTTGCCCTCATTTTAGGATTTGGGGCATGCACTCACATATAACTGGCATGTTTTCAAAGCCTCTGGGTCTGAGAGTCAAACTGTGTAGGCAACCATATGGGATCTAGCTGCCTTAACCACTATACCACTGGTTGACCTGGTCATTTCTAATACTATGATTCTAGGTAGTTAAAAGCTACCAAGACAAGAGCACTATTAAAGACCTACGATAGACACAGATTTCACAGAACTCAGAAATATTCTGCTAGTGGCAAATGTGATGGTTGCAGAAAATAACATGTGGGCCAGCACATGGCATGGCAGTTAAGGTGGCCAAAGGATGATTAGTCAATAGAAATATTAAATGAAGGGACCAGCAGTTAGCGTAATGGCTATGTCGCTGGATTCCTATGTAGTCGACCGCAGTTCGAGTCCCGGATCCAGTGGCTTAAACTCATGCCAGGCACGTGTGGGTGCGTGCATGTCCAAGATCCGGAGAGGAGAATGGTGGAGAAGGGATTGCAGCGTGGCCATCCCCTGTGGGGAGCGATTTCTCGCTTTCTATCTCTCTGTCTCTCTCTGTCTTTCTGGTGAACACACACGCCCTATAGCAAAAAAAAAATAATAATAAAAATAAAAAGCCAAAGAAATATAAAATGAAGTCTGACCATGTCCAGATGGCCGTATTTAAACTTCAGGCTCTAAGTTCCCTTGGGAAATATCCGGCTGATCTAACAATATTCTTACAGAATTGATTTCTCAAAATCTTAAGTTTATGTGTTCCCGGAAATCATATCCATGCTAAACAAACTCTGTTTTATCAGTCCTTATTTTACTGAACAAAGTGGGCAAACTTCCATTAATCTAAAGTGTAGTTAGCCAGCTTCTGGTAGTGGTTTAAGTAGTGATTTAAAATGAAAACTATTTATCAGAAGGCAGCTTACCAATATCCCAGATTAGTATTTTACTGGCTGAAAATTTTCCCTAAAATAAGGAATGATAAAAGTACCCTTTGAAGATGCCATCCCACAGTTTTATATTATTGATATCCCAAAAAGCAGCACAGAACAAAGCTGAGCTTTTCTGAGTTCATGTGCTAGAATTGCTTATTGAAGGTCTGGTACAGACAGGAGAGACTATAGTCTAGCATTTTAAAATACTGAAAAACGTAGACTCAGTAGAAAAGGCCACCACATTGGCTTCGTTTCCCTTCCCTCCCCCTCTTTCAAACTTCCCAAGCCCAAAGTTCCATGGAATCCAGAAATATCCTCTAAAAGTAATTTAGATAAAACATGCATTAGTGACTATTTTAAAGGAGATAAGTGTCCCCCACCATTTAAATATATCAAAAGTAGCTTCAAATATGTTTTGCTAGCTAGTTGCAGAGCTTGTAAATTTAATCTTCTAAATGCAACCCATTTCCTCTTTTCTCTGAGAAAAAAAAAAAAAAGCAAAACAACAGATAAACATTTTTCTTAGACAGAGCACTTTCTTTTTCAGGCTCAATAATGGCAGACCGAGGGTTTCATTTCCCTTCCACAGCACTTAGCTTGTCCCATCAAGAAGCCTACATTTTACAACATCCTTTAATGGCAATGGAAAGAAATTAGGAAATCTGTTGTCAATCATCTGAAGAACTTTCCCACTATGTTCTAAGGACAAACACCTCCGTTATCAGACACCAGGACACTGTGCACAGGCTGACACGTGTGTTGCCTCTCTACTGTGTTTCTTTTTTTTTTGAGAGGTTTTTGCTATAGGCTGTGTGCACTTGCCAGAAAGACAGAGAGAGAGAGAGAGAGACAGAAAGTAAAAAATCACCCCCCCAGGGTGGAAGACCACGCTGCAATCCCTTCTCCTCTCGGGATCCTGGGCATGCACGTGCACCCACCCAGTGTGTTTAAGCCACTAGGTTCAGGACTACACTAACTGCTAGTCCCTCTACCATGTTTCTGCATGTGGATCCCTCCTGACTGAGAGAAAAGGGAAGCTATTTGCATTATTGCACAGGTAACCTTCTATAGGGAAGATCTAGTGAGGACAAGGTCTAGTAATTCATCTGTTCAAGTCTAATGACTGGATCTGCTGTGGAGAGGTCTGTAAGAAGTATTTTGTCCTGAAGAACACAACAGGGTTCTTAGAGGCGGTTTACACCACATGTAGGACAATGCTGTTGGCAGACGGTAAACTCAAATTCTCTTTTCCTTTACATTATTTAAACATTAGACAAATAAACAATGGTGGTGATAGTAGGGTGTATATAATGCTATCCTATTTTAAATCGTAGAACTGCCTAATGAAATCAACAGGCCTGGAAAAGAGTAATTAGGCAAGTGGATAATTTTACACAATTCCAATTATACAATGTGGTGACATAGGATAAAAGTATACCTTCACTGTAAAAACTATGTTAAAAGCAGAAGGAAAGAGGAATCCAAGTAAAGAAGGCAGCGTAGAGCCAAGTCCCAGCTCCCTTTTTTAATTGGAAATCAGTCAGTGGCATGGGTAGCCACGCCTACCTATTGCAATTATTCTGCTGAATAATATTTAAAAACTACACTTCCAAGATTCTCAGTTACAGCTCAAATATCAGTGCCCTAAAGCAAAAGCAAACAAGCAGTTTGAAAGAGATGGCAAAGAAATAGGGAAACAGACCTCTTCCAGACGAAGGGTTTTTTCAACTGGTTCTTCCATACTTCATTTATTCCTACTACAGAAAATGTGAGAAAAATACAAAAGGGTAGAACTAGCAATTACCTGGACCTACCTACAGAATATGGCACTTTAATATAAGGATTTCTATACATGGAAACGAGGCCTCCAAATTTCAATGTGCTTATTCATATTTCAACATGACAGTCATTCAGGAGAGGAAACAGTCTGACAACGATGTCTACCACTTTGATAGACGGTGGAGAGGGAAGAAAGAAGACAACACACAATGGCAGCACATGCACTGAGGCTCTTTACCCCCTGTCTCTGTGGTGCTCTTCTTATTTAGGATTTTCAGGATATCTTTGGTAATTTTCTTCAGCTGATGCCTGGCTTCGTCACGCTCTTTGCCAACCCCATAGAGAAGGATTGTGCGCTGGTTACATTCATGACTTGAAGATTCATCCTGAAAAACAGAACATGCATTCTGAAACCCTGGTTTGCAGGGGTGGGGTTGCCTCTCACCTCTCGGAAATGCACTAACCACAGCACCTCCATGCTGGCTTGTGGTGGTAGAATTCTGCCCACCTCTGAATCCACTTCAGTCTCTACTGGCAACATCCTTGTTTTTCCAGTTTGGAACTTGCCTAGCGTACTAACAAAAAAATGTGTCAACTGACCTGAAGTCTTAATAGGAGCATTTGACGTGGGCGTACCCTACAGAGTAAGTTTTGGCTATTTGAAAAACATTTTCATTTCATGTTTAAAATTGAACTTGGTTATTCATTTCATATCATGCACCATATTCTCTATTATCTAGTACAGTATCCGGTCATACTTTTCCCATAAGGAAAGTATTATTTCTTAGTAAGTATATTACATATACAACAAAAGTAGTATTTTCCGTTTAAAAAATCTTGCTAGGATCTTGAAATACCTTTATGAAAAAATTCCATTTACCTGCAACTTACATCCATTTACTGTGAGAGATATATGCATATTTATTTTCATAGGACAAAATAGTAAAGAGTGTAGGTCTCATTAGGTGTGAGGGGAATAGCTGGAAATGCAAACGTGTTTTGACATCACCCACTTCCTTCCTGGACCAGTTTTCTACCCCCACACAACAGACACAGGGAATCCAAGCACTGTGTCTCACAAGGGAAAGAAAGTTATTTCATCACAGCATAGCAAAAAAAAAAAAAAAAGTATATGTCACATTCTTTAGCCAAAGTTAAACGGTCCAGGATGTATTGGCTCTCTGAATACGCCTGGCTTTAATTTTTTTTTTTTTTGGCTCTCTGAATATGCCTGGCTTTAATTTTTTTAATCTCAGTTTCTCCTTTGGGACTTCATTTTCTTAGAAAGTTTCCAGCTCTATCCTTCAGTGCATCTTGTCTTCTTACTCGGCATTGCAGTTCCCCGAAGCTGGGCACTCACCTTTCCTACCAGTATCTTATCCTAAGGACCTTGTGTAAGAAAAGAACTCCCACCAGGAAAAACAAACAGCATTGTGCTCATAAGCAGTAGTGGCTATAGCAAAAGCTTGGAGAACTCCAGTGTTTAATCTGGAGCATACCATCTGTGTTCTATGCACAAAGAATATTTAGCTTCTGCTGACTGTTTAAAGAGCAATTTTTCCTCTCTCTGATCCTGTCACTTTGCACTCTCAGTGTCTATTCTGTGTGTGTCTGTTAGTGTTGCTCTCACCTGCACACTTACATTCAAGTCACTACTTCTCATTGCACCATTATTATTTTTTTTAAATTATATTCTACCAGAAAGATGCATTTGTATACCTAGCCAATCTAGCTTACTACCCTTCACCAAAATAATTTCAGGTGTTCAAGTTTGCCTCCTTAAAAAAAAAAAGGAAAAGTAAAACCTAGGAAAAGTTTTCTCCCAGAAATTGTTCATACTTAGTATCCTGAGTATCCAAATTTCTACCAAATTTTCAAAAGACAGATTTAACCCTAAGTAACGTCCATGTAGGCAATGATTCCTACTCCTGCTGCACGTCTGAATCGGCTGAACTGCTTGATAATCTCCAATTCTTGTTGTTACAAGCACAGCTAAGACGGTGTATTTCTCATTTATCTGGCAGAATATGTGCACGTAAGCCCTAAGAAGGGAACGGGAAGGCACGGAGAAAACCATACACTACCAGGCAGTGCCAGTCATGTGCCTTGGCAATTGTTTGCAGTTAAGGCACACAAGGAATGGTCTTAGTGCAAATGTTGGCGGGGGCTGGGGGGGGTAATGGAAAGATGTTAGCAAAGTCATGCGATGCTTGTTTATAAAATATCAGGTTGTCAGAAAAGTCATGGAACATTTTACTGTAGAAAAATACGTCATGACTTTTCCGACCACCCAATATTTACTTAAAGCACACAAGATGCTAGTGACCCTGAGAAAAACAAGAATGAATGGTTCCTGTCATCAAATAAAAGAGGTCCAGTGTCATACAAAGTAGTATTGGGAGAGCTAGACGTCCAGTCAGAGGGTGAAAGGAAGCACCCCAGAAAGATCCCTGCACTCCTCACAACCACACAGGATAGCGATGGCCCCCCATTGTACCACTGACAGCCTGAGCTTGAGGCTAAGAGCGATGGCTGAGTGCTGGCTCTGCTACTGGCCAACATGAGCCCGGATAACGAACCTTTCTGAGTCTCAGGTTGTTCCTCTGAAAAATGGGGAAACACACCTTCCTCGTGGTAGGGTGTGTGAAGTGTTTGGGAGCAGGCTGGACATGGTACTTATTGCTGTGAATTCTCGGTCTAGACCTCCACTGCCCTCTTACATCCACACTTGCACTGTGGTGCCTTACTCAACATCTCCCCAGGACGCTGGGCACTTCCTGCCTTTGCTCCTCTTCTTCCTGTTACCTAAAATACACTGACAGCCTCAATTTCACTTACCAAAGCGCTAGGTACAAATATAGTGTCAGTTGCCTTACTTTGTCTCCCCAATTCTTTGAAAACTCTCACCCAGAAGAAGTTAAAGAGGAAAGACTCTCTGAAGCTTTTATCATTTGTTTTCTGCATATGTGCTCAATGTCTGTCTCCCCCACTAGAACAAGTTTCGCGAATGACCCCATGACTGTCTTACTCAGTTTGATAGTCTCTTTGTTAAGTACAAAGTTGGCATCTACTATTTACTGAAAACACTAAATACAAAATAAATATATGGACTAATGAACATGGCTAAAGAAATAGGGTGTGATGAAGATAAAATCAGTATTTTTTTTAATTGCCAGAGGGCACATGTGCTTGCCAGAGAGAGACAGACAGAGAGTATCTAAGAACCCCCCCCAATGAGGCAGGGTTGTGCTGCAATCCCTTCTCCATTTTACCATCCTGTGAGGATATGAGATGTGCATGCACAAGTAGCCAGTATGTTTGTCAAGCTGCCAGGACTGGGATTCAAACCACCACAGATCACATGGGATTCGGCACCCTTAACCACTTAGGCTACAAGGTCAGCCTGGAAAGAAGGAAAAAAAATAGTTTCATAGGAAACGTGACCTGATAGTTAAGTCCTGAGAAAAGTGAAATGGAGAAGTAGGGGACCAATAGAAAGTTATAACAAAAACATGTGTAGCCTGAACTCAGTCTTAGCAATGGTCATGAAGACTAAGGAGTAAAATCAAGAGGTAACCAAGGAAAGTTAGGAAAGGATCAGTCATCAGAATCCAATGAATGAACTTAATTTCCTTGCACTTTATGATGGACCCACATAAAATGTGCTAGACCAAAAAAAAAAAAATAATAAAAAT